ATATCATGAACCGGTGAGTTGCATTCATCTCCCTTATCTCTCCACACATGAAATGGACAAAACAAAGAGGCTCACTCACCTCTCTATCACAAGATAAAAAGAGCTGAGGCATACTGCACATATAGCAAGATCTGTACTACAGAGAGAGAGAGAGAGATCTATGAGCAAACCTAGCAAAATGCACAGGCGTAGCAAAATTCCAACACCATAACATGAATAAACCAAACATCACCAAGTATACAAATTTATCCTTCATAAAAAAACATACCATGGCTACTTGAATGATAAAATTGTCATAGCTAAGGTAACAGTAGTACCAAGAATCACAGCACCAAGCAATCTGACAGACTCAATAAATTTGTTAATACAGGGCGATAGCATGCATGCAGCCAATAGTATACAAGAATATAGGTAAGTAAGAAACTTTCAAACCTTTGAGTTTGTGCATCTCAATGATCGAGCAGGCACGTATACATGAGGCCCCATTCAACAATAACAAAACAGAGCAGTACTTTGTATTAAAGCTGCAAGTTTGGTGGGTCGATGGAAGTTAACCGAAAAATAGCAAACCACATATATCATATCATGGAAGAGCTTCTACACTCGATGGAAGAAACAACTGAAGGAAGCACATTATTATATGAACTGAGAGGAGATATCTCACCAACAGCTAGCTGTAATGATAAAGCTACATCATCACACTACCATTCCACCATCTACTGATCGTTCAGGAAACATGTGGAGACAATGCAGTAACATGAATAAATGAATGAATTAACCATAAGGTCCAGATAAAAAATCTATCAGGTCAGGGGTGGCAGCAGGACATTCACATGCAATGGTCAAAATTTGCAGCGCCGATAGTTGTATGTCAAGTACTCAAGTAAAAGAAAGCAGGAAACAATAACAATACTATGCACACCCAACAAACATTATCTAGTGATTCTTAGAATTAAAAGAAAGCAGGAAACAATAACAATACTATAGTATATATATATATGAATAAGAAAAGGACCTACAGATCCTTATGAATAAGAAAAAATCACTGGGGTTCACCACTCTAACCTTGAGAGGGTGTGATTGCGATTGCAACATCAAACATGGGCCTTGGCTATTTCCTCCAAATAAACATGGGACTGGTGCCTCTAGGTATGCCTTGAGCCGACTACTTATTTTAAAGAAACTATAATACTTGCTATAAAACAGGGTGAAAATAGTTGGTTCAACTACTTTTCTGGACAGCTTTAGGAAACCAACCATGGCTAGACTGCTGGCACAGGAAAAAAGAGGAATGCTATACTTCATACTAAGTTACAAACTTTACCACTATTAAAATAAGTCTACACTAATCTGTTCCAACAATGATGACCAAAAGTGCATTTTGACCACCTGGCCATCGATGTGCAACAGCAAAAAGATGTTCAAAATAAGTCTACACTAATATGTAATATCTAAATGATAATGGAAGGCACTGCTGCTGCCTAATATAAGCTCTGATCTAGTGTTTGCATTGGGGCAAGCGATGTCCACAGGAATCTGAGGTCGCCACCGGTCTGCTGGCTACAAACCAAACTTTTGGACACATGATGGTGCACTAATGCCACTGATACAATCTAACTAAAGCACTTTTAAAACGAGCATCATCTAGATCGGGTAAAAAAATTCCTTATACAAGCAGGAAAACAACCCAAACAATGAAGGTAATAGTTCTGATAGGCAAAACAATAATTGGAAAAACATTCATAACTGTGCCAAATGCTGAATGAACCTGAATCAGAAACACTCTTGAATTCAAGTGCCTCTAATCATGCATTGCTTCCACCAAGAGCACTGCAAGTAAGCACAAGGAAAAACTCAGTTAACAGAAGGATCACTCAGTTAACAGCACATGTCATTCAAGATCTTTCAGTTAACAGCAAAATGTCTTGTACAGGCAAAACATGAAGGTTTTACTTAATGTAAATCCAAACTTGCAAACCATTGTCCAAACTGATAAACAAGAGTTCCTTCATTTATCGGATGAACAAATTGAGCCATAAAACATATAACTACGTACATGCAAGGGTTCAAAGAAGAAAGAACACTGTAAGAACCCAACCATTGTCCTTTTTCACAATAAAGTTATGTTATGTTGATAAAATAAAAAATTTCCTCACTGATAAATCTTTTTTCTTTGCAGTAACTCTGGGACCAAAAATTTCTGATACTAAGCTTCGGTCCAAAGGTTCTCCAAGCTGGCGGTATTCATAAAGTCTTCAGAGAATACTTTGCAGTTGAGAAAGATGAGAAACTACTGAAGGCTTTCTAGTGCTATCTTTCAACCACGGCTGGTCCAATAGCTGGAATCCGAAGTACTGTAGAACTGTAGGAGTACTACCAAGAAACAAGCAGAGCAGCTTGCGCACGCGGCAGAGAATAGAGCCGGGCACTCACCTCTCCTTTCCCTTGTTGTTCCTGTAGCACCTTGCCCGTCGTCCCCAATTGCTACTCCAACTCCGAGATCTACTAGAAGCAATGGAGATGAGGGTCAAACCCTAGCGGATCGAGAAACTACTGCAACGAAGCAGATGAGGTGCACTGACCTTTGAGACGGATGGCAATGGCGATGGAGATGGCGACGACGGACGAGGAGCGAGGCGGCGGTGGTGGATGAGTGAGGTGGCGGCGGTGGAGGAGCGCCCGAGCGACCCCCACGTCGCACGCACGAGAGCGAAACTGAGCGACAGCGAGGTGGAGGGATGTCGGGGCGGCAGACGGATGCCGGGTTGGCGGCGGACGGATGCCGGGGTGGTGGTTGCCTCGGCGCCTCTCGACTACAGCTGCGCGAGCGCGATCGGTCGGGGAAATGCTCCCGTTGTCTTGGCTCGTGGATTTCTTCCACGTGGAAAATGAAGGGAAGCGGGCTTCTGTCCCGACGTGGATCGGCTTCCAATGAGCGCCGCAGATTGACCAAGGGAAAATTGGCGCGTGCTTTCTTGGCCCGGGGAAAGCGCGGGGAACCCTTCGGGATCCCCTGCTGCCAAAGTAGCCCTTAGGGATAATCATATTGTTATTTTTTAGCCAGTGTAGTATGGAACCTGTGGAAAACTAGGAATAACTGGGTCTTTAACAACCATTTGATTAAGTCGCCTAAAGCAATTGCTTATAAGGTTTTGGGTTTACAGTAGAAGAGGTTGCTGAAGCCCAAGGAAAGCCTCGAGATGGAGGACACGATCAAGAAGCTGCAGGAAGGCTTGAAGATGTGGTGAAAATGGTCTGCTGAATGGAGATCTGCAAGGGCGGCTACGTATGGAAGATCTTCTTGAAACTGAAGGAGTTTTTGTTGGTGACTCAGAACTTTATAAGTCTGTCTTTTGAAGGAGGTTTTAAATATCGGCATGGTGGAATAGAGTGGTGCTAAATTTCAGTTGACTAGAGGTGTGACATTCTAAAGATAGTAGACTAGAAGTAGAAGCGTAGCCTAATTTCTACTGCATTCCCTCGCTTTTCTTTTGAGCTTATAAGACATTGATGTATCGGTAATGCTTTCAGTAGGGCGTCCGGACGATCGGATGTTGTCTTCCTGGGCCTAAGCAGAGGACCGGCCCAACAAGCAACCGGCCTGCTCCCCTACTACCCCATCTCTATGACCGATAACTTCCCCACTTCGCCTGTCACGGTGTTCACCGCGCTTTCCGCCTCTCTACCTCCATGTCACGGCGTCCACTCGTGACCGTGCCAGGCGGCGCGAAATCTAGACCGCCATAGATCCCCTCTCATCCAAGCTTCCTGCTCTAGCACCAACCCGCCCTCTATGTCATCGTCACTGCCGCGCCCTACCTCATCCACCGAATCGACCTACCGCGGCTTGCTCCTGCCGCTGCTCCACGCGCTTACCTTGCTGCTCCTGTTGTTGCTCCTGCTCTACCGCCTGCCTTGCCCAACAACGTCGAAAGGCGCTGCCAGTGCAAGGAGAAGCTCTAGGCCCTGGCATAGAAGCCCATCCCGCCTCGCCTCCTTCTACGGTTGCGGTGCCCCGATGCAGACAACGGAGGAGGCCACACCGACATTTGATGCTTGTTACAAAGTGTACATTTCAAATGTTTCAGGTGTTTCAGAGGTATATTTCAAGTGTCTTACATGGATGTTGAAAAAGTAGATCGAGATGTGGCATATGTTGCAATGGTTATACACGTATGTTGCAAGTGTTTGTCCCCAATGTTTCATTTGTTTTTTCAGACGTATGTTGCAAGCATGTTTATCTGAATGTTGCATATGTTTCACACATATGTTGCAAGTGTTTTATCTGGATGTTGCGTATGTTTGGAATGGCTTTCAATTGTTTTTGCAAGTGTTTCAGATGCATGTTTCAAGTGTTTCATCTGTCTTTTTTGTATGTCGTAAAGTGTTGCATCTGAATGTTTCAAAAGTAGATCGGGTGTTACACACATGGGATGCGCATGGAAAGCGGGAGGGGGTGCGAGCAGGCGTCCGTCCGGACATCCGGCCGCTAACAGTGATGTTGATGTATCCTAGCTGCTTATTTTTATCCTCGCTGTCCTCTATATGTATATTATGCCGAACCTTGTAGTTACATGGTTGCTTTCAATATAAGCAGCGCCAAGGCTTTGGTCTAATAAAATTTCTTTTCAGAGATGGACAAGTCGGGCAAGATGCGGATGCTAGTTGGGGCATTCACAAAATAGGTACACTTCCACACGAGGTAACCCCATTAATTTCCACAAAATAGGTACACCTTGAAACTTTGTTTTCAGTTAATCGGGATACGACTTCTCAACTTCTTACCCTGAGGCATAAATAGAGCCAGATTTTCATGCTCGTTACTCGAAGTGAAGTTTTGCCCATTTAGGCGAATTTTGTTGAGGCGGTGTAAACTACACTACAGATATTGTATTATTGTGCATAAACTTCAACTAATCAATGCCCTGGCCTCGTATATCTACTCTGTTTAATTTCCATCACCAGTCGCATGGCGTTTGCGATAGTAAATTAGTAATGTATCATGCATGTGGTTTGGGGACAAGGATGAGCGTCTCCTTCCGGTGGACCGTCAATCCAAACACCTCCGTCATATCAATGTCCTCCTTCTCCATGCCGGCCGGCAGCTTCCAGTCAAAACAATACACGAGGTTTGCCAGCATGATGTTGATCGTAGCCAACCCAAAGTTGATCCCAGGGCACATCCTCCGGCCCGCCCCGAACGGCGTAAACTGGAAGTCATTTCCCTTGAAGTCCAGGTCCGCGGCGGCGCCACCATCCACGAATCTCTCCGGCACGAACTCCTCCGGGTTCTCCCATGACCTTGGGTCTCTAGAGATAGCCCACGCGTTGATGATGACCCTCGTTCCGGAGGGGATTGTGTAGCCGTCGACGTCGCAGTCCGCCATGGATTGGTGGGGCACGAGGAGCGGAGCAGGTGGGTGTAGCCTTAGCGTCTCCTTCACGACGGCTCTCAGATAGGGCATGCCTGCTAGGTCCTCTTCCCTGACCATTTCTTGCCCCTTCGGTGTCTTCTTCCTCACCTCGGCTTGTACCTTGGTCATGAGATGAGGGCTGCGCATGAGCTCGGCCATGGCCGCTTCCAAAACTGAAGATGATGTGGCCGTGCCTGCCTCGAACATGTCCTATAGATATGCGTCATTTAATTAGGTAGATCAACTGAAAAAAAAATCTAGCTGGCTAGTCACTCACCATCAAGATGGCCTTGATATGATCTCTGGTGATATTGTACTCTTGTTGAACAGAGAGCATCACATCGGTGAAGTGTGTGCTCTCTTCTTGTTCATCATCGCCCTCACCATGTCCGTTCTTGGAGGTCCGGCGCCTCCTCTCGTGGTCGCTTATGATCTCCTCAAGCAAGTCGTCCCATCTTTTGTGTACCTGGTGCACCTTCCTGTTGCTCACAAACACACCTAGCGACTTTGCAAGCCCTGGGAAATAGCTTTCCAGATTGAATCCTGCCAGCAGAACAGTGGTGGTGTGATTCAGCTCGCGGAAGAGCTTGTTCCGGCCTTCTTCCCTGGAGAACTTGCCACATACAGCACGGCAGATGATGTCGTTGGCGAACGCGTTCATCATCTCACTGAGATCCACCTCCGCGTCCATGGCCGCTGCCTCCCTGAGCTTGTCCAGCACTAGGCGCACCTGTTATCATATATGAATAATTAAATAATAAATGTTACTGCATATATATGCATGCATGATGAACAGTGAGCAAATAATTGTTACCTCTTCCTGGCGGGCATGGTGGTACGAGTTCACCTTCTTGACAGTGAGCAGGTGCGTGGTGACGAGCTTCCTGACCTGCCGCCAGTGCTCGCCGTAGGGGGCGAAGGCGACGTTGGAGGACCCGTACACGAGGTCGTCGAACAGCAACGACGCCGGCCGCGAGGCGAAGACGTGGTCGTGCGTCCGCAGGATCGCTTGCGCCGCGCGTGCGGAGGACACGACGAGGTTCGGGACCGTGCCGAGGCGGAGGAGCATGAGGCCGCCGCCACCGCGGTCGTCGTGCTTGGCGGCGAGGTCACGGAAGGAGACGTGCGGACGGTCGCCGACCAGGAGCAGGTGGCCGATGATAGGCAGTCCCGGAGGGGACAGCGGGAGCTGCCGTCTCTGCTTGTCGTTGCTGCAGGGGAGGGGACGGCGGGAGGCGAGTAGGAGCAGCAGCACGCAAGGGACGAGCAGCAAGAGTAGCCATTGCCATTGTGCTAGAGGTGTGGTCGTCGCATCCATGAATAATTGGTATACCACATTCGTGTGATGAGACGCCATGGATGTTGCCGGTTAGTGAGGTAGATAGAAATATATGTCCATATATAGATACGTCTTCGTCTCATTAGAACAGTGAGATAATCCGGTGGGCTACGGAAACGTGACTTTGTGGAATGGAACGAAAGATACTGAAAAAGATGTTATGTCGTTTAACGAAATGTTGTCTAGTTTGTGGAATCGTTGACCACTAGTATGGGGTCGATATTCGCTGACGCGTACATTTCAATCGATCAAAATATCGTTCAGTACAATCATGCAAGCATCAAGGTACGTTAATCGTCATAACATGCGTCACATATAGTCAAGGTTCGATTTGAGATAAATACAAGCCGTGCACAGTAAATTTATATATATGACACTCACAATTGGGAACCCTGACTTATATGTGAATCCTTCCTTTATTTTGACACTCACAATTGACTCAGGACAACTTCTATTTTACGCTAGATAGTCTAAGGATCAAAAGGGGTTGGAGCTTCCTGTGTGAAAAGTATGTTAATCTATATGATTTTTTTTTACCTATATTCATATTTTTTTTCTTTATGCAAGTCACTTATGTGTATTTTGAATATGCATTTAGTTCAAACACTAGCTTAATCTACCGTGGCTCTTCTTGCAGTATGTATCTTATGATGCCATAAATCTAGATTTTTATCTTTTCAAATTTTAATCTTATTAGTTGCTACAAATTTTTTAGTCCCAAGTTAAGCTGAAACTCATGTGTTTATTGCATCTTTTATTAACTCTCATTTTGTATTTTATTCAAAATAATGATTTTAGGACACATACTACACTCTTAAATATTATAATGGCATAATGGTTATTTAGAACTTGCACCATGTCACTTAAGATCAGTGGTTGACCTTGCAGTGATATCTAAGATGAGATAGCAGTGTTAACCTCGAGAAGATATTAATACTTAAGCCATATAATTATTGTTTACTCGGAAGGAATCCGAAACAACATGAGTTATAATAACCACCTTTGGTCTACACTAACCTTTCCCATTTCTTAACGTGTTTCAATTTTCTATGATTATACTATCAATATATGTATATATGCCAATGTGTTTGTTAAATGTATAAATTTATCTACAAATAACATCTTTTTTTATAAAATCTATGTCCTGGTTATTAATATAAATTTAAATGATTTGTAAAGATCATTAGTTATGAGTCATTAAGGAAATATATTTATGATTTATGAAACATAATGAGTATATATTAGTTATGAGTTAGCACCATGTCAATCGAGGGGATGACTCAAGATGCTAGCTTGGTGCGCTAGAATAGAACCCTCGCGGCGGCTGTCCCTCACAGCGAAAACCATCATATTATATTTTTCTAGCACTTATTTGAATATAAAATGCTTTGAAAGTTACTTATATGATTTTACCATCCCCAGCAAGAAGGAAATTTGCCTCTATCCTTACCTTTTTTTTTTTACTTGTATCATTCTATGAAGCCATGTCTAGGCTCAAAATCAAGTTTACGAAAAGTGAGGTTGTTAGGTCAATCATGACACAGGTAAACCTGTTTACTATGTTGATGTGTTCAATTGTGCTATTAGATACTGGACATCTAAGTATCTAGGGTTTATTAGGAGCTTGGGCTCCATATCTTGAACTGCCTAACCCCTCTAATGAATGTTGAAAAGGTTGGATATCTGGCAAGGTAGTTCCTTTACCATTGGGGACAGGACTATCTTGACTAGCTCCGGCCTAAGTAAATATGCCTACTCTTACCATTTCTATTTACTTCTTCACAAAACTATATTACAAAAAAGGAAGGACAGTATCAGAAAGAGGTTTTCTTTGGCAACGTGAAAAGATGAAAAAGAAATACCATCTAATTGAACAAACTAACATTACTAATAAACCAAGAGAAAAAAGGTTTGGGCATGTATGACTTATTCAAAATGAGCAAAAGTCATCTTTCTAGATGATGGTGGAAGTTTTTTTTAAGCCGATGACGGTGGAAGTTGGAGAACAACAGTCTCATTTGGCAAGACACTGTGAACCTCTCTGCTACTGAAAAGACTGAAAACCATTCTGAGGTGGGGGATGGTACTAGAAATATTGGTCGTTTAAATATTTAACACTGGATTCATATTCATAGACATAGATATAGATAGACATATTTGTCGTCTCCGAGAGTGTCAACGTGATCACAGAGTCGATCTTTGGAGTCCCGAATATCCGATTTCCTCATTCTGGGGGGCTAACACTGCTTACCCCACCCCCGCGTCCGACCGCGACGCTGGCCCCGACCCGTCTCGCCTGGCCGCCGCCACGCCGACGACTGACCAGCACGCGGCCTCAGGCCCCCGACCTCGTCCCTCCCCGTCTTACCTGACCGCCGCCGCCCACCACTCACCTCGCCTCCCCAACTTCTGCCAGCTCCCATCCCGCCGCCGACGCCGTAGGCCCGTGCCCAGGTCCCCATCTTCTGGCCCTTCGCCGGCGACGAACACCCAATAGGTACGCCCACCCCTTCTCTTCCGTTCCTGCTGTGCGAAACCGAACACCCAAACCCTAGCTTAAGATATCTGTATTCGGATCTGATCTCCAATTACAAGTGTAGTATACGTGTATTTTGCCTCTAAACTTCGATGTTTTCTTTGTGTATTTACCTACAAAACTTCGTCTCCCCCCTCCCCCTTTTTTTTGGCAAAAATTATTGGGTGTACATATGTACACCCATGTCCTTTACTGTGTCCGTCCCTGGATTGATGAACAATGGCTACTCTGGTTTGTTTGTTTTACCAGTTTGATTAGTTTGCTGCCAAAGAAAAGAAAACTGAATATTGGTTTGCAAAATCTTAAAAACAACCGTCTGTTGGGTCACAGCTTTTGTTTTCAAGACGCAGGCAATCTGGCAGCTTGATACTGTTACCTTGTGACCTTAATTTGGCTTAGAATCTTCCCTATGTATTACCAACATTCTAACACCAACCCATTGCCTTGTGAAGTGCCTAATTTAATTGACATCTTTATTTTTCGTTGAAACGTAATAATTTGCTTGGCATAATTTCCATTGGGAAGTGAATAGAATCTTCCCTGTGTATTACCAATATTCTAACAGCAATCCATGGCCTTGTGAAGTGCCTGATTTAATTGGTACCTTTGTTTTTTTTGTTGAAGCGTAATAATTTTCTTGGCATAAAATAACCTGTGAAAATAAATGGTCTGGTTTGGTGTCATCTTCCTCTGATAGAAAGATCTACCTAACTTTATTAATGTAATTTTATATTGCATAGGTGTGTTTAGATCTACTAGCTCCATGCCCGTTGCGACAGGAGAGGCAAAATTTGCACGGGATAATATTGTTGACTGGTTGGAACACTTGCAAAATAGCCAATCCAAGATATGATTCATTAGCAATGTACTCGAATATATGTGCATTGTTAAGAGAATACATACACCAAGGATGCTGGATGAACTTTGTAGAAGGCATACATTTTCCTAGACAGGTTACATGTATTAAACTGAAAAAAGAAATGAACCGATGTCTTCATACAACTATTTGGATTTCAGGGCACAAAATGTGCGAAGAAAGAGATTCATGGCTCTCAAATTGAGGAACCGTGGCTAGCAAAGTTATTTTAGCTCATAAATATGGCCTTATCCTGTTTTGCATTGCTATAATTCTCATAAAATCTGCAAGTAAAAAAAAATGACTTCTGTGCAAGGGCAATATGAAAAGACAAATTCATAAGTGCTGGCCACCTTACCTGCTTCTGCAAAACAAACTACAAAAGACAGACGTAATGTTTCCAGTACTAAGATGGTCTGGTAAATTATGATTCTTTTACCAATAAGGCCATGCATGAATAAAACACGCCAAATCGTTAGAAGATAATCTGTGGTATGAACCTTAACTTGAAAAACTTTAAGCTGCCTAATCAGTTAGAATTGCCATGAAATGGATCACATGAATCTGAGGTATGAACCTTTTCTTGAAAATCAGTTAGGAGAGTAGAGCATTCCTAACTGTTTTCTTAGATAGGACCAATCCGTTGTACGGACTTTCACTTGAAGATATAAAAGCTGTCTAATCAGTTTATTTGTTCTGAAATAAAGAACAGAAGCCAGAGGCATTGCACACAATTACCTTATACATCCTGATGCCACTGGATCCATCTAGCAGCAACCACAATCCACAGGAATGGATTATGCATCTCCCCACAGGCTACCAATCAGCTTGCTCCTTGCACAATGTGCCCTGTGGCGGACCATCATGTGATCCTCCACCAGTGTATCTACTCTCTTTCACAGACCTAGGTCACAACACAAACAAATCAAGAATCTTAGTGAGCCTGTAAAGGCATGGGAGGAAGCAGAGTTCGATGGCCCGGATTCCTGGACGATCTTCCTGCTGCAGTTCTATGACACCATTGATTTGGATGGAGGAATTTGAATATACTAATGGTCTCTACTGCAACTCATCATTGGGATCTATGCTTACAGTTATCTTCCTGAGTGGTAGTGATTGCTTTGATGATTACATTCATTTGTTTTTTTTCTCTAAAAATGGCCATGTCATGTCACTGCTGATACCATGTTTCTATCCACCTTTATTTTTGTTACCTTCTTTTTGTAGGACCTGGTAATTCACATTTCTTGAAAGAGTAATAGCAAATAATGTAATAAGTGAATATTTATAGCTTAGGTCTAGGGGATTACTAACTAATGGGAAACCACCAGTTCCCCTGACTCAGGTCACCCTTTTTGCGATAATCTCACCACCCTTGTCCTGTTTCTCCCGCACCCACCTAAGATAGCTCGTGCATGTGGCACCCTTCTGGGTTGAAGATCCATACTTACCTTGAGGTGTAAGCAGTGGGCAGCACAGCTTCTCTAGAGGATAGCACATTAGCACTGGCTATTGGCTGTATTGTCTCCTTGATTAACATCTCTCCAGGATATTAGACGGTCATTAACTACATCTATTTGGTTTGGAGTGATTAAAGTTTATAACTCACAAAGAGGTTCAGCATCA